TCGAAATTTCATATTTTGTTTAAAGACACGATTAATACAAACAGCAGTAATTCATTTTTCTCGGGAGCAATTATTTACATTAGCAAACAGTCTTGACAATATTTTTATGTTCAAATATTTACATATACGTATATATATATAATATATTTTATTAATCATCTGAAAATAAAATAAACACTAAACTACATTTCCTATCAGATAAGGTTTTGCGTATTCAATCAAAGAGCGGGAGCGAGGTCAACTCAAAACTATTTGCTTAAGTAAAACATATTTTTAAAATGACTGCAATTTTTTTTTAAATTTATTAAATTTTAATTTCAATAATTAACCTATTATAGCTAAAAGCAATTCAACACTAATTACTATAATTATACTTAATTTAACCCACCATTAAAATACTAACATTTTTTGTTTAACTCAAAAATCCATTATCTTCGTGCTGTGGATTATATAATTATAATATATATAAGCACAAAAATTATATAATTTTTTAAACTGAAATCGAAGCAATTATAGAGTATATATTTTTTTTTTTTAAACCAATATTGACTTTGTTTTATGGGAAATGATTAATGATAATTTGCGAAGTTTGCAGTCGTCGCATTATTTATGTCTATTCAATGTGCAGCGAATTTGTTAAGCAATTAATTTATATTTATTTTATTGTACGTACAAGTATTTTCAGACATAATAAAGGAAGAAATAAAAAATTTAAATTAAATATTGAGATAAATAAAAATGAATAAAAATATTGCAGAAAGTGAAGTCGACTTAATTTCGTATCTTAGAGATAAAAATTATACAATCTTCAAGTGACGGCAGAGTGAATATTTGCCTTTTGTTGTTAAAAATTGCATTAATCGTTTCGAGACTTCATGGTGGACGTCATGTTGGATTTTGAAATATTATATGCTTAATTAGTTTTTAAATTTAAGCACAAAAAACCTAAAGTTTGTTATCAATTTGCGATTATTTTGGGTCGATTTATTCAAGTATTAAATTAAGTTTTAAATACTGGTATTGAAAACATTAATTACAAAAAAAAAGAGAGAAGGGTAAAAGATCCACTGCATTGGAATTATATTCTTAATTGTTATGAGAAATACTATACATGTAGCAGTATAATATAACAGCTAAGGGTATTTAAGGATATTTTGTGTAGAGCTATCTAGTATGTGAGGTAGAAGCCTAACGTTATTTGACACAAGAACATATAATTTTACTAGGGGTAAGAAAAATAATGTATTGTTTCATGAGTCATACTTAACCACCCCAACTACATAAATTTGTTGAATTCTAAAATACTTCCTTTCTGTCTTCGGTTTCATTTTAAAGGAAGTCAAAAAATCGAGACACAGAAGAAACGGAGCACCGTTCAAAAGATCAAATAAACAAAGTTGATTGATATATCTCTGCATATGTATAAATTTTAATAAAATAAAATACGGAAGTTGATATTGTTGATACGAGTAATACTGTGTTCTTAAATATTTAATTGAGCTGACATCTATCAGCACCTATTCTATTTTGGGATACGTTTATATGTCTCTCTGACTTCGAAACTGAATTATTACTTAAATCAGCGTTTTGATATGCGAGTTATACTATATTTGTCCTCAACCCGACATGTTTGCGTAGCTATCTGTATTATATTCAATGGAATTGTGAGTGGTGTGCTAAATTCTTTTTTTTGATATTGATGAGGAACGCTATTATTTTAGAAAATCAAATACTTTATGCTTCTTAATGAAATATTATTAAATAATCTTTGGAAAAATAATAAATGATTAAGAAGTGTGAACATAATAAATTATTTTAAAACCAGAAAAATAAAATAAATCAAAAACTGTATTAGATACAATACGTAATACTGTTGTTTATTTTCGCATCGCTTAACATTAACACTAAGGTTAAAAAAAATTTTGCAAATATATAGAATATTAATGCCAACAAACATTTAAAGGTTGTATATGTATAACTCTTCTAAGGATAATAGAAATATGTGCATCTGGCACAAAAATATCGCCGGGTTTTGGCGCGTTAATTTAACAATAGAAACATGAATTTGAATACGGGTAGTAACATTTAACTATTTATATCTCAAAATAAATTTATGTGAATATGTTGTCCTTGACACATTTTTAGGGATGAAATTTAATTCCGAACAGCTTGCAGTTATTGCAGCTGTTCTAAACATTCCCACCGTAAATGGATATCTTTTTTCGAATATATCTATGATCACGTTGCATCTCACTGCGTACGAGTAATATTTTTTACATTTTACTGAATTATTTACAAATATATACAATAACATTTTTAATATAAATGAAGTAGGTACGGCATATTATACACCATTTCTAATTTTAAATGATATGTTCTGTACAGTTTTGAAAGAAAATATCTGTAATGTTTATAATGAGTAATTTTATTTTCTTTTTTACCTGCCAACAACTCAGTAATTTTAATAATTAAAATAATAAAAGAAAAACTGAAATCCTAATTAAAATGTAAAGCATTTTACAATTTTCTAAAAATTATATTCTATGTATTTATGTTACTTATTTGGCTATAATAACCTCTTACCAAGTTTTGATCTGAAGTAGAATATCGCATCAGGTACCTCTACTGTGTGCGCGATTTCTCTAGTTTCGTACATTAAGTATGGGTAGTGCTCCCTGAACTTGATCTATGCCTTCTTTCTCTTACCACTATTTCAAGTGCCTTTTTCACTGGAGCCACTACGGGAGTCTATTCAGCCCATAACAGCACCTATTGGCAATGGATTGCATTTAACACTTTCTATTATGAATATTGTTTTATAGTTTGGAATTTAAAGGTGTTAGTACATATATGCTGAAGATCACCAGAAGCTATTGGCTTCTTAAATTTAATTTTGATTTCATTTTCGTTGAGAGGCTCCCTATAAGATTACAATTATGTCCACTTGTCACGTATTAGAATCTTTTCTACATATTCACAGATTGTTTTTCAGACGAAATCATCTAAATTATATTGATGGTTAGTCGTATATTACTCGCTTATACCTATATCGATGATAAGCGAGTAGTATAAAAAATTAAAAGCGTTTCTAGACGTTTCTATTTAAAATTATTTGTTTGTTTTATTTATTTTAAGTTTTGAAATTAACATTCTGATTCATTTATGATAGAATAAGTATACAAGGGTACTTAAATTAATGATATAAAATTTTAGTGATGTACAATATGTACAATGCAATTAATTTTCGATTCAAATTTCATTAGAATAGAAAAATGCAAGAAAGTACTCCATTTCAATATTTGATTAAATATTCACATGAATGGTAAGGATAAAAAGTATTAATGATATATGCACTCTTGCGGGTTATTTTCGCATAGCAAGTGCTCCAACTTCAATACTAAAACATCTTAATATTCTTGAACTATAACCAGACTAGCTACGCTGTTTACTATCAACTCTTGATGTTACCAGGCGATAAGGAAGAAAGTTTTGCCACAGTTCTAAGTCGATTGCTGAAAAAAATCCAATTCTTTCTTATATACTAACTCAACTAGTAATACAAAAATTTTTAAGAGTGAACCAACATTGCTTAACTTTACAATGTTATCTTTACTTCTTTAATCATTTCAAAAAGTCTATCACTAACGGATTAAACTACTCAAATACACACATGATCATTCATATATAATTTAACTTTCATCATATAAGCCAAATTAATAAGCTTAAGATCTTGGTACTAGTATTTAATAACATCACACCATAAATAAAGTAACGAAAGGCTATAACATCTTGGAGACCAATTTGATCGAAACACGATAGCACAAGAGCTGATAATGAGTCCTTATCTTCTTGCTGGTATATCGTGAAGCTAAATATAATAAAGCTCAGATATAATAAGGAAAGTTCTGTTGCATTTAAGGAATTAATGAAGGTATGAAAGTAAGTCAATAATAAAAATAGTCCTTTAAAAATTGAGAAATATTGTACAAAGTACAACTATTAAAATGAAAAACTAAACAATGTTCAAACACAATAACTGCGACAAATTTTTAGAGCATTAGAAGAACGAGAACAGATGCAACCAATAAATAAAATTTCCCTAGTGCTTTCCGATAAATAAATTTTCCAAAGAGCTCCAAAAACTCCTCTAATATATGCGAACGAAAAAAATATTAATAAATGTAATATATATAATTTAACAAAATACGGACTCTTAGTAAATAATTTTGGTCCTGAAAAGAACCGATGTTTATTAAATATTTTGAAACAGCTTCTTAAGCACGTTCTCCACGAATACGTCTCGCCAATTGAATATCTTTTGGCATAATGGTTACGCGTTTAGCATGAATAGCGCATAAGTTAGTATCTTCAAAAAGCCCAACTAAGTATGCTTCGCTAGCTTCTTGGAGAGCCATTACAGCAGAACTCTGGAAACGTAAATCAGTTTTGAAATCCTGTGCAATTTCACGGACTAAACGCTGGAATGGCAGTTTGCGAATTAAGAGTTCTGTACTCTTTTGATAGCGACGAATTTCACGCAAAGCTACAGTTCCCGGACGATAACGATGTGGTTTTTTTACACCGCCAGTTGCGGGCGCACTTTTGCGTGCGGCCTTAGTAGCCAATTGTTTACGTGGTGCCTTACCACCAGTCGATTTACGAGCAGTTTGCTTTGTACGAGCCATAATTAAACAAATTGTTAAATAAAATTTAATTTAACGAATAAATGTTGAGAGAGTAAATTTCAAAACAAACTCTTATGATCCATCTCAACTGTTCACATGTTCAAACAGTCATTGTTCATTATATCCTTAATATCCTTTACATTGTTTATTTCTACCCTCAATTATTTGAGTGCCATTTTTGAGTAATTTGTTGTGTTTAAGCATTGTCACTCATATCTTTTGTATTGTTCATTTTTTCTATAAATACTGTGCATATCTAGTGTGGAATTTATTTACTGTTTAAGTCTGAATAGACAAGTATTATCTGTACTAAAATTATAACCTCAAAATGACTGGTCGTGGTAAAGGTGGTAAAGGTTTGGGAAAAGGTGGTGCTAAGCGTCATCGCAAAGTTCTTCGTGATAACATCCAAGGTATCACGAAACCAGCTATAAGACGTTTGGCTCGCCGTGGTGGAGTTAAGCGTATTTCTGGTTTGATTTACGAAGAAACTCGTGGTGTATTGAAGGTATTTCTGGAAAATGTGATCCGTGATGCAGTTACATATACAGAACATGCCAAAAGGAAGACTGTTACAGCCATGGATGTTGTATATGCTTTGAAGAGACAAGGTCGCACCCTCTACGGTTTCGGAGGTTAAATAAATAATATTAGTTTAAAAATGCAATACTATTAACACTATATTGCCCAATGGTCCTTTTCAGGACCCGAATATTTTCATTTTTTGAGATAAATAATTCATTTGAACACATACTTGACTGTAATTTATACAAATATTTTTATCGACTTCAAATATTAAGATTTTAAGACAAAAATTAATTGAAGTTGAATGTAAGTAAGAAACTTTAGAAATTTTTCTTAGTTAGATTTTCAAGAAACATGTTTTAATGTAGGTATTCAAAATTATTCTTTTAATCAAATTAGTTTTAGACGTAGAAATATCTAAGAATTCACCAATTATTTATTAAATAGATATATCTCAATAAAAATAAATATAGAAGTAAATATAATAAAGTTGTATGTAATATTTCCTTATAATTATTTCTTTTATGTCTTCGTATTTAAATAACGGTTAATTTTTAGTTTCAATAATCATAATAATTATACAAATAATTGTTTAAAATTTTTTTTTCTGTACTGTCATTCTCAATACGATTTAGCATGACAACATTTAGCATGAAACAACATTGAAAACCGATATCTCATAATGAAATACTATTTATACCCCAATCACTTAATTTTTAAATCTGTTCCTCAATTGAATTAAATTGTAAAAGAATTTAGAAACTAAGAGTATTTTATTGTTTTATGTATTCTCCTTCTGTTTAGAATATATCAGTTTCCTACCACCCAGGATATAAGTTTCAAAGAAAGAAAGACATTTTTTTAATAACACACATGCTTTTAAAATTATATACCATATCTTATTGATTCGTTTGGTGGCAGATAAAATTATGGCGGGAAAATTTCTACCTACTGGTATGTGAACTAAAATACTTAAGGCTTGCATTGTTATACCATTCATTTTTTTATTTAAAAAAAAAGTAACTGACAAAATTGTCAGTACAGTTCACACGCATACCAAGGACACTCAAGATCCATACATATACTTCCAAGCCGAATGAGCATGAGTGTGAGTGAAATTGAGTAAGAAACTATAAGCCGAAATGGAATGAAGATGGAACGTGAGTAATTTTCTTATTTGCATTTACGCGCCAAAATATATGAAATAAAATCTATATTTAAGATGAATTTAATAGAATTACATACAACCTTTTCTTTGTTAGTTATATTGTCATAAAGCGATTAAAAGAAGCAATGTGAATGTGAATGTTTTATAATTCTTTACTAAATCTGTTCAGTTTAGTAATATATCAGAAATATTGTTCTGAGATGAGTACTTATTACTTAATGCGATGAGTCTTGAATATAATTACATGTTTTTGTACCATATATAGAATTGTTTAATTGCATTTTATACTATATACAAACTATATATAACTAGTTAAAATAAATTAGGATACGTATATACCGAAAATAATGATTATAATGAATTGTTTATTTCAAACGTAAATGTGATATTAAAACATAATTAATCCACAAATTGCTCAAATAGAGCTAATGTTAAAATTAGAATGTTTTACACGTACGTGTAGGAAGTAACCGAATTAATACGTATGGAGTAGAATTGCTCTGATTGCCGGAAGATGAAGGTGCTTGATTCCAAATCATATTTCATTTGACATTATTTTGGAAATGGTTTCTGTAAACCAATTTTAACCATTTTTATGGGTTACGTTTTTCAAAGAAATATTTGTATAAATAATAATTGTTTGAAATGAAGTATGTTTTCTTTAATCAAATAAATTGATCGTCCTGAAAAGGACGGTTGTTGTTCGAAAATTTCGAAAGAAATAGTGTTGTAAGATATAGTTTAAGCCTTCTTTTCTGTTTTCTTAGGCAAAAGTACAGCTTGGATGTTTGGTAATACACCACCTTGTGCGATTGTGACACCAGACAACAATTTGTTTAATTCTTCATCATTACGGATGGCCAATTGTAAATGACGGGGTATGATTCTTGTCTTCTTATTATCGCGTGCTGCATTGCCAGCCAATTCAAGAACTTCAGCTGCCAAATATTCCATAACAGCAGCTAAGTAGACGGGAGCGCCGGCACCAACGCGTTCAGCATAATTGCCTTTTCGCAGCAATCGATGAATGCGACCAACTGGAAATTGTAATCCAGCACGATTTGAGCGAGACTTTGCCTTGCCCTTAACTTTACCTCCTTTACCACGACCAGACATGTTTCAATAGTATTTGATTGTTAAGTTGATCTACGTGATCTGAGTTGAAAACAGGCAAACACCAAGAATTTATACCTTTTTCATCCCCTAATGTGAAGAGAGAATTTCTTGAAATTTCTGTTTTAAAAATACATAAATTCTGAGTGAGGGTAGTTTAAATTTGAAAATTCATAAAATTGAAAATTTGAAACTTCACATTTGAAATCATGCCACCAAAAACTAGCGGAAAAGCGGTCAAGAAGGACGGAAAGGCTCAGAAGAATATAACTAAGAACGATAAGAAGAAGAAGCGCAGGAGGAAGGAAAGTTATGCTATTTACATTTATAAAGTATTGAAGCAAGTTCATCCTGATACTGGTATTTCATCCAAGGCTATGAGCATCATGAACAGCTTTGTGAATGATATATTCGAACGCATTGCTGCTGAAGCTTCACGTTTGGCCCACTATAACAAACGATCCACAATTACTAGTCGGGAAATTCAAACTGCAGTTCGCCTTTTACTTCCTGGTGAATTGGCTAAGCACGCAGTTAGTGAAGGTACTAAAGCTGTCACTAAGTATACCAGTTCCAAGTAAATTTTTTTGTATTGAACAATCAACATTAACTCCAACGGTCCTTTTCAGGACCACAAAAATATTTAATTAAAGTCGATAATTGATCTTAAAATTACTAACATACACTTCACAAATAAATGAACATTTTAGAAATGAATAAAATAATACTGATTTTCGAGCATATATATTTTGAATAATCAGAAAAAATAAGTGAATATAACTAACTGATAATAATATACGTATAAGGTTCCAATAAATACACAAATGCCATGTTTCACCTAAAGTATGTAACAAAAAATTATAAAAATATTTCATTTATGTGTTAAAAATACCATATATAATTAAGTTTTAAATATATTCACTGATCTTTGGCATAAATTAAATTTTAAATCTTTTGAACTTTCCCTTTCAGGCATTTAGTTCTTCTATTAACTGGCATATTCTAGACTCTACTGTATACCATACTTAACAATAGAAACTAGAATATGAAAAATATTGCAGTATGAATTACCCACTTCAACTTTTGCATTATTTTAGCACCTTTACTCCATTCTATTTGTTAGCCTGGACATTTATTTCTTTAACTCATTAAACTGTCAAAGTACTTTCTCGAGCTTGTATACGCTGCTTTCGTTCTCACATTTCCGTCGTCTTATATATACTATATTATAAATATTAAATAGTCAATTATTATTCGCAGAAATTTTTAAAGCCATATACTTGGTACACTAAAGAAAATCTTGAGGAGATCTCAGTTATTAAATTGTGAAAGACTTCCGAGTGAAATCACATTAGAGAACGTAGTAGGTATACGTAAATTATGATCGATTATATCTATTCACAAAAGTTTTGAACTCTTTAAGAATATACTCCGTGAAGCGAGTTACTATATTCTCGATTGAGCAACGAGTTGGGTCAGGAGAGTGATCCCTCTGAATGAACTGGAAAGTAAGCACAATGGGAAGATCTCGGTATGCAGAATATTGGGAGGCAGTATAGTTATGCTGATATTAACATTTCTGTATTATAATACCAAAATTTATATACTTTGGAATGTTCTTCACTTTTTATTAAAAGTATTGTTATCATAAGTTGATAATTTTAACAAGCAACAAAGCTAAAAAACTAATAACTTCAACAATAATTGCTATAAGTGTGAAGTTTATATATAGCGTTATATGCTGATCATCATCAAAAATTATAGTTACAAAGAAGAATGAGAGAATCAATTATCTTTATATATTCATTTTATCTGAGTATTATTAATTTGAATATGATGTTTAACTATCTCTTTTCTTTAATTAATTTTGGTCCTGAAAAGGACCGATGTTTATTAAATAGTATGAAATTGCTTCTTAAGCACGTTCTCCACGAATACGTCTCGCCAATTGAATATCTTTTGGCATAATGGTTACGCGTTTAGCATGAATAGCGCATAAGTTAGTATCTTCAAAAAGCCCAACTAAGTATGCTTCGCTAGCTTCTTGGAGAGCCATTACAGCAGAACTCTGGAAACGTAAATCAGTTTTGAAATCCTGTGCAATTTCACGGACTAAACGCTGGAATGGCAGTTTGCGAATTAAGAGTTCTGTACTCTTTTGATAGCGACGAATTTCACGCAAAGCTACAGTTCCCGGACGATAACGATGTGGTTTTTTTACACCGCCAGTTGCGGGCGCACTTTTGCGTGCGGCCTTAGTAGCCAATTGTTTACGTGGTGCCTTACCACCAGTCGATTTACGAGCAGTTTGCTTTGTACGAGCCATAATTAAACAAATTGTTAAATAAAATTTAATTTAACGAATAAATGTTGAGAGAGTAAATTTCAAAACAAACTCTTATGATCCATCTCAACTGTTCACATGTTCAAACAGTCATTGTTCATTATATCCTTAATATCCTTTACATTGTTTATTTCTACCCTCAATTATTTGAGTGCCATTTTTGAGTAATTTGTTGTGTTTAAGCATTGTCACTCATATCTTTTGTATTGTTCATTTTTTCTATAAATACTGTGCATATCTAGTGTGGAATTTATTTACTGTTTAAGTCTGAATAGACAAGTATTATCTGTACTAAAATTATAACCTCAAAATGACTGGTCGTGGTAAAGGTGGTAAAGGTTTGGGAAAAGGTGGTGCTAAGCGTCATCGCAAAGTTCTTCGTGATAACATCCAAGGTATCACGAAACCAGCTATAAGACGTTTGGCTCGCCGTGGTGGAGTTAAGCGTATTTCTGGTTTGATTTACGAAGAAACTCGTGGTGTATTGAAGGTATTTCTGGAAAATGTGATCCGTGATGCAGTTACATATACAGAACATGCCAAAAGGAAGACTGTTACAGCCATGGATGTTGTATATGCTTTGAAGAGACAAGGTCGCACCCTCTACGGTTTCGGAGGTTAAATAAATAATATTAGTTTAAAAATGCAATACTATTAACACTATATTGCCCAATGGTCCTTTTCAGGACCCGAATATTTTCATTTTTTGAGATAAATAATTCATTTGAACACATACTTGACTGTAATTTATACAAATATTTTTATCGACTTCAAATATTAAGATTTTAAGACAAAAATTAATTGAAGTTGAATGTAAGTAAGAAACTTTAGAAATTTTTCTTAGTTAGATTTTCAAGAAACATGTTTTAATGTAGGTATTCAAAATTATTCTTTTAATCAAACTAGTTTTAGACGTAGAAATATCTAAGAATTCACCAATTATTTATTAAATAGATATATCTCAATAAAAATAAATATAGAAGTAAATATAACAAAGTTGTATGTAATATTTCCTTATAATTATTTCTTTTATGTCTTCGTATTTAAATAACGGTTAATTTTTAGTTTCAATAATCATAATAATTATACAAATAATTGTTTAAAATTTTTTTTTCTGTACTGTCATTCTCAATACGATTTAGCATGACAACATTTAGCATGAAACAACATTGAAAACCGATATCTCATAATGAAATACTATTTATACCCCAATCACTTAATTTTTAAATCTGTTCCTCAATTGAATTAAATTGTAAAAGAATTTAGAAACTAAGAGTATTTTATTGTTTTATGTATTCTCCTTCTGTTTAGAATATATCAGTTTCCTACCACCCAGGATATAAGTTTCAAAGAAAGAAAGACATTTTTTTAATAACACACATGCTTTTAAAATTATATACCATATCTTATTGATTCGTTTGGTGGCAGATAAAATTATGGCGGGAAAATTTCTACCTACTGGTATGTGAACTAAAATACTTAAGGCTTGCATTGTTATACCATTCATTTTTTTATTTAAAAAAAAAGTAACTGACAAAATTGTCAGTACAGTTCACACGCATACCAAGGACACTCAAGATCCATACATATACTTCCAAGCCGAATGAGCATGAGTGTGAGTGAAATTGAGTAAGAAACTATAAGCCGAAATGGAATGAAGATGGAACGTGAGTAATTTTCTTATTTGCATTTACGCGCCAAAATATATGAAATAAAATCTATATTTAAGATGAATTTAATAGAATTACATACAACCTTTTCTTTGTTAGTTATATTGTCATAAAGCGATTAAAAGAAGCAATGTGAATGTGAATGTTTTATAATTCTTTACTAAATCTGTTCAGTTTAGTAATATATCAGAAATATTGTTCTGAGATGAGTACTTATTACTTAATGCGATGAGTCTTGAATATAATTACATGTTTTTGTACCATATATAGAATTGTTTAATTGCATTTT